GAACGGAAGACAAAGAGTTAAACAAAGGTTGGGATATCTGAGCAGTAGCCCACTTATCAATACAATGCAATCGGCAGCGCGGTCCTGATTATCCTGCGCGACGACCGATGCAGAATGAAATTATTTTTATTTTGTGTATGCACCAACTAAAGTGAAAGGATTTGATCCGAATCTGGATATGAACGAATCGGAAGAGGATTTGATCGATTAGGAAGTGGCTGTCATCTCCGCGAACATGTCGCCGTATCCCGCACCTGATGACCTCATTCCCCGGTATGGACGAGTACTTCTTATACGTAAGTGTTTGGACTGGTGCGCAATTTGGACTATTCGGTCGTGATATTTGACACCGCACCCACAGGAGATACATTACGCTTGCTGGCATTCCCGAAGGTGATGGAGAAAAGTTTGAGCAAATTTACTGCCATGAAGAATGAGGTTGCACCGCTGCTCAAAAGTCTGATGGGCTTTTTGGGGTGGAACAACATGCAAGTGGGCGATTCGAGCAATGTACTGGAAACTCGGTTGTTAATTGTGGAAGAGGTCACACGTCAGTTCAAGGATACAACCCAGACCACTTTTGTATGTGCGTATTCCGGAATTTCTCAGTATGTACGGGACGGAACGACTGATTCGGGAATTGCCCGCGCAGGAAGTCGATGTGCACAATGTAATTGCCAATCAGCTGCTCTTCCCCAAGCTGATCACTGCGGTAAGCGAGACAAGTAGCAATCAGTCCGGTACGAAAGACGCGCCTCAGCCACCGACCTCTTGTCGAACGTGTCTGGTTCGTCGTCGTATCCAGACCAAAAATTTGGAACAGAAAATGGAATTGTACGAGGATATGCATGTGATCCAATTGCCCCATTTAGAAGTACGTGGTGTCGCGTCAGTGCAAGTGTTTATGCAACGCCCATTGAAACCATTCCGTCGTTAGTAATTCGGATATCCGATTGAGCCACACTTCCTGTCCCTCTTATTCGTTTCTTCTGTTTCTCTCCCACTTTCACTCTATCTATCTTTGATACACCAGTGAGCAATATCTGTTTCAAAACATATCGCGTGTTCCACTGACAGACTTTCTTCTTTTTCAGGCGATTGTGATGTTCATATTGCTGCTGCGGATTAGGGAAATTGAGCACAGTGATTGCCGTTCATTCACAGGCCTTCACCTGTTGTGCTGAGTCTTCATCTTTTGCTACACCACACCACACCCCCGC